GGACTATCTAGCTACACTGGCGGCGACGAATCTAGAAGGATTAATGAAACTGAATTCGCCATCACCAGGGGTCCGTAGGTGGCTTTACCACGACGTTTTAGGGATTGCCTTTTCCCGTCGTGTAGCTTTGTAACTTTATATCCTTAATACACTTCCTGTTTACTAAAAAAAAAAGAAAAAAAGAAAAAGGATATGAAAGAGATCTCAATTCTAAACCATTGCCTGTTAGGTGCAGTTCGTAGTAGAGTGCAAATTAAACAAGCTACTCCCTCTGTTTCAAAATTATGAATCAGTTTAAATTGATTTGAATTAAAAATAAAAATTCAAAATAAACATAACTTTGAGACGGAGAAAGCATTTAATAATAATGGTTTAAGAACTGAAATACCGAAGGTTACATGAAGGGAAAGATTATGATATCGTTATCTAAAATGTGCTGTAGCCTTTTGTAATTTGAAGATTCATTTGTATCATAACATAATTCAGATTTGACGAGTTGAGTGTAACTTAAATCTTTCTGCAAGTGTTTATATTATTTATTGCATATCGTATATCAAATCTCCGTCAATAATAATTTTGATATAATAAGAGCATTATTCTTTTTCGTTTCAACTTTTGCGGAATTGTTTAGATGTTTGGGAAATTAGAATGATAAATGAAGTTACACAAGAAACAAGAAGGATTATATTTACCAAGATATATCTACACTCTTGGCCCCGCTGAAGAAGGAGATAAAACATTGCAAATGAAAACCTGATTAATCCAAGTACAACTTTGAAAAGAGGGGTTTTTTTTTTTTTTTTTTTTTGAAATTATGAAGCCGCATGCATAAACAAAAATGGGGTTGATGTCAATGAATTCATCTTTCAAGGGAGCCAATTGGCAGCCGGCTCTTGTAACTTTCTACTTTTTCTGAGGATATGAATCCGAACCCGGACCCATTAGGGATGAAGTAGAAGATTTTCATTTCTAGTTTAATAGATTTTCATGTGACGGTAATATAATATGATTGTCGTTTGTGTCCAGAAAAAAAAAAAAAATTATGCAAGATTTTAAAGGTGTAAATCTCTTGCTCAATCATATGATACCCTAAGATGATTAAAGGTTGCGATTAATGAAATTTCGACATGAGTAGGGATTAGTCTATATCAAAGCATCAGATTTATCCACTTAGTGATCCCAAAAGATCCCGACCCATACATCGTGGCCACAGGCCTTCATTGATGTTCAGTGTAATCATTAATTAACAAATTAGGCCGGATAATACAGTCAACCAAATGAGCTGCCCTGAAATTTTTGCCTTTCATCTAGCTAGCATTGTTTTAGTTTAAAGTTTTTATATAAGGTATAGATGCGCAAATTATTTAAAATTGCGAATGAGAGTGAGTATACGTGAAATGCAATGATTCATTTCAGGTGTTTATTTTCGTAATTAACAATCGACACATGATATAAAGCACTTATTACATCTTCAATTTGAATTTATGGCGACAGTTTGTACAGTAATTCTGCATGCATGTTGCAGTCAACAATGTAGTTTACGTGCAACACACGCCTCACAATTATCAGAAAAAACATTCCATGCTTTAGGCACCCCATTGGCCAATCAGACACGAAGACTCCACGCACAGTCTAATAATGTCAGATAAAATCCTCTAAATATGAGGTCCTGAAAAGTTGCGTCCTGTTGAAAAAATTGATACCATCTTATGCTAGTACGGCGCGTTTGCCAGATAAAATCTGAACTGGCACCAATTTTTTCAAAAATTTTGGTAAAAAATTTGGATTAATTAGGATAATTATTTCGAGGTAATAAAGAAATATTGCTTAAGTTGGAGTAAGAAGCAGTAGTTAACATCAAATTTTTCATCTTCATCCCTTTATATAGACTAGACTAGATTAAATTTTATTTAATTAGTAAAAGTAGTATCCAATTGTTATGATTAGTATTCTTCTTCTTTTTTTGGCTACTTGAAATCTTATGAGTGAATGAATACACACTTTTATACAATACCCTAGCTGCAAATTACAAAATTTTGAGGTGACAAATCATCGTAAACGATATTCAGTTGCACACTTATCTAGTTATAATTTTGGATTCAGGCTCAAACGCCTAAAAGACTCTAAATTTTCTCGCCAAAACAAGAAGAAATATTAATTAATAGCTCTAGATTTCCGAAACAGAGAGGGGGGTGATATGTAGCTTTCAAAAGCCTTAATATATCTTATGTGCATGATCACTCTTATTTAGTGCAACTGTGCAAGTGGGTTTCTAGTTAATGATGCATGGGGAGAACTCTTAATGGTATACATTTGCTCAACCAGATTTCAAGTCATTTCCATTTTTAAAACTTGAGGTCAGGAAATCTTGCAAATTTTTTCCCATAAACATAAGAGAACAAATATTAAGAAAGATTAGCCAACTGGCTGAAAAATGGTTTCAACGAAAAACCAAAAGAAGTACATTGAATAGTACTGCATATCCCCTTTTTTCCATCGTACCCACCATTTGGAAGCACAAAATTTGGCAGTATGGTTTCGTCTTTTCCCGTAATAAAGCTCCAAAATAATAAGAGATTGAAGATTAGGGAGCCACGCCAAATCATTCTCTGGCCTAATCAGATGCTACCCTCCAAAAATCTCAACCACCTCTTCCTAACTTTCTTTATATTTATTTTTGAAAAAAAAATTATGTAAATGAGATCATTTATTTCACTTTACCCGTCTTATTAACTAGTGAAACGACATATATCATTTTATTTATAATTACGACATAAGTATATTTCTTAATTCATCAACGGGACACGATTGAATTTGCGAAAATAAATAAATTTTAGAAAACCTCTGATCACGATAAGGCTTCAAAGAAACACTGTATTCTTTGAATACGTGCATCATCATCAGTGTGTATTTTCATTTTACCTCCACATATAGTGCGCTCTGGTCCCGTTCATTTACATATTATTTTTTTCCTTTTGGGACACAGCTTTTTTCCCCTTTTTGATTCATCACTTGGTGCCCATATTGACATTTCTCTTATTTTGTTGGTTTTCATAAATGTCAATACAAAATTTTGGTTCACAAAGTAGCACACACTAACACACGTACATTAACGTTAGGGGTGTGTGTGTGTACTTTGGTTGTTACTATTATTTTATAATAAAAGAACCGTCCAACCTATGATCAACAATTAGACTGCAATTATGGGTACAATTAAGTTTAATCGCACGTCATAATCGTCCTTATTAATATTCGACTCTCCGATTAGTTGTGACAATAGAGTCTTAGATCTTGACTTTTGTTTTTCTTTGTTTACAGGGGACACGCCCAAATTTCTGGATTGTGTGACAAAGTTATTGGTTGATTTTATTTTAATTTTTCTAATGAGATATTTTTACCATGATGTCATTTTGGGAACTATTTGTATCGAATTTGTTAACTTTGTTTTGTTGTGGGGACTTCCTTAGCTGGATATGCTAACTAGCTAAAAACCGTGTCTTCGTTTCTCAAAAAAAAAAAAAAAAAAGAAAAAAGTAAACAAATGAAAATAAAATTCTTCACGACGGCTTTGCAATTTGATTTACTGCTTGATTAAATTTGGAGATGATAGTTGATAGTAGCACAACTTGTGCACTGGTCGGTTGATGTTGGCTTCAACCTTGAAATCTTTGGTTTGATTGGTGAAGTCGGTCGATATGTAGTGTTATGATGATTGTGTCTAGATTATTAATCCCACAATTTAATGATTAAATGTTTAGTTTTTTACAAGTTAACGATATTGACATGTATAGATTATGGTGCAGAGATATTATAATTCTATTCTATTATTAAAAATGTGATTAGAAGGAAAATTAGCCAGAAAAACTAACCTAAAATTGGGTTTAAATTATTGGTACAATGCTATAGTTGAAAAATAATAATGTCTACTCGGATGAAAGATCACATTTACAATCATTCGTTATATTGGGCAAGTGGACTTCGGCCGTATGATGTTCGGCAAATGTTTAAAGTATTTTAGGCCTTCAAAATTCTTTATTTAGAAGGGGAAAAAAAAGAAAAGAAAGAAACTACTAAAGGACCAACTTGATTATGATCTGTAAGCCTTGCCTCAAGTAGCTCATAAAAAATATGACATTGATGGGTTGGAGAAAATACTCATTAAATTTAGTTCGATTTTAAAAATTTTCCGTTTTGGACACTTCTTTTATCATATAGAAAGAATCATATTCACTTGGTTGCTATTTTCTACTCTAATTTCAAGAGTGTACTGACGTAGAATCAATGAATGACCTAAAATCTAATTATTATTATTATTAGTAGCACTCCTACACAATTATTGAACTTTAACAATACGCTAAACATAACTACTGTCAGGTTATCTTGCACTCGCCAAGAAGACTTTCCGAGTACCAGATCAAGACGTATGCGTGTGGAGTCTCCCCTTTAGTAGTACTATCCCCATCCCCAGGTTTTACCTCACATGTAATAGACTAGATACTTGTAATTGTGTATATAAAAAAAAGGCATAACAAGTTTCATCAAAGGGTTAGAAGATTTTATAGTGTAAAGGTTTTTTTTTTTTTTAAAAAAAAAAAGAAAACTAGAGAAATGGTTAGAGCTCATGTATGATATGCTCCATCCTTCCTAAAAAAATCTAAATTATAAATTGTAATATTATACTCTTTTTGTCCTGAAAAATAATTCTACATTATAAGTTGTAAATTGAACTAAAAACAAAATAATTTTTATTATAATATTTTGTGGACTTTTTATTATAATTAATAAATTATATTGTGGATTATTTTTGTAGGACTTTTTTTTGTTGTGTTCCTGTTAATGAAAAGAATTCTTCATTTGTGTATAAGGAGAGGTCTACAAGCTTCATTAATTGACATCCTCCAACAATTTTAATAATTGACAATTAGGTCATGGATGGTGAGCTATCTTTAAAAGTGGCCTTAAATTTCAATAATCATAACAATTTCCTTAAGAGTCCCTGTCTTTGTGATCCAACATTAAATTTCCTCCAAACATTAATATCGTCAATTACATGTGTGTCCACGAAACTCCTGTCAGCACTTAGGGTCAATGCCACTGTTGCATACACACACAATTCGTTTGAAAACTGACATTTCTTAAATTTCAACACACTTTCTAAAGGGTTTGGGGTTTTTTTTTTAAAAAAATCATTTTGGGGTTGCATTTTCTATAATATCATGGCTTTTCTAATAATCAGCTCGAAAACGACAACCATGGAAGGACCATAAATGTATAGTTTTTTTTTTTCCTGTTAGGCCGAGTTGGGTTGAGACAGTGAATGCCCAGTAAGCAATATCAAGACCATAACTATTTTTTTTTTTTTTCCCTTATGACCATTGCAAATTGTTTACCCGAATCTGCTTTGTTTAATCGCTGTGAAGATCTCTCCACTGCTAATTGACAACCATTTTTTTATTGTGTCCCAGAGAACCTATAAAACAAAGCACTCACTCCAAGAAAACTGACAAACTTGGAAGTCTTATGGCAGTCCTTGTTGTTGGATAGTAAAGGACTAATCTTTATTGCCAATTCAAAAGTTCTGTTCTTTGAGTTCAGGCTTTTCAGCTCGACCCTTTTCTTTATTCTGTGTTTTGGAATCATGAAAGCAAAACGAGGGAAGCGGGCTGAGGTGTGTTTCTTGTAGGAATTTTCTTTTACCTGAATTCCTCTGCTGCTGCTAATATATATGCTAATTGGAATTGTTGCATTTTGGTTTCAGGCATTTTGGCCCTCCATTGTAATGAAGAAATGGCTTAATATTAAGCCTAAATCATATGATTTCAGTGAGGATGAAGTTGATACTGAAGCTGAGAGTGAGGATGACGGTATGTTCTCTTCCATAGTAATGGGAACTCTGTTCTTGCTTCTTTCTCTGCTCTGCAGCTGCTCTGTTTTCTGTTCATCTAGTCATGTGATTCAACACAGAACCCGGTTTTGTTATGTTCATCTTTTGAGATGTTTCTTTCTTTTGTGATTTGGGTCTCAGCTGAGTCTCTCAAGGATGAAAGAATGCATCATGATGATCATGAACCCAGGATGCCGGAGAATCAAACTGAATGTCACATTCAAGATTCATACAGTATGTTAATTTCCTTTATTCTGTCAGAATAGATCACCGGCTACCTATCATAATTGTGCATGTGTACATTTGGTAACCTTCTCTAGTTTCTGAATTTGATGAGCTATGAATTTTATGCATGAAATTTAAGAAATTGTTAACCCACCACGTTAGTGGAATCATAACCTACCTGTTTGTGAAAATGTTTAAGGTAGATCAGCTAAAAAACCATGTTCGTTTTTATTGTTCAGTTCCTCTTGATTTTTACACTTCTCTGGGATTGAATAGTCATCTACTCCCCGTCCCGAAATGATTGTCTCGAGTTTGAAGTAAAACCCTTTTGATTCTTGCTTCTCTTAATTTATGCTGATTGGAACAAAAGAGAGAAATATTTCTGATTGTGCAGTGGTTTTTATTAACTGCAGAATTTTCAGGGAAGTTCCCTAAAGAACACTCGTTGAGGCATAAGAGAGGGAAATCAGAAACTCTTAGAGTACAGTACATAAGCAAAAAAGATGTGAGGTTTGACTTCTATGACCTATTGTCACTTCTCAGTATTCAACAACATAATTTTCTTTATATCACTGCCATGATCTCAGTTATTGATTTCTTGCATCATTTTTTTAATTTTTTTTTTCACTCAGAGTGACAGTAGGTACTTGGAATGTCGCTGGAAGACTTCCGAGTGAGGATCTTGAGATCGACGAGTGGCTTTCTGTGCAAGAACCCTCTGATGTTTACATTCTTGGGTAAGTACTTTTTAGTTTGCCAGATTATTTCCAGAACTTGCCTGTCTGAAACCGTTTCAGAACCTTGTTTAGCAAACCAAAGAATATGCATAGCACATAGTCAGTATGGTGCCTATGATAACCATACAGCGGTTGCTAATTAGTCCGGGCAATATCTGAAGATTTCTTGATTTTTTTACCTATCTGCAGCTTCATTGTAACCTAAATATATAGGAATAGGATTCTGCTGAATTTCAATGGAACATCAAACCAACTTTCAGACTGTAATTAGTCACTAATCCAATTAGATTCCTTGGTCTATCTTCTACATGTGGTACTTCTTTGTGTCAAAATTCAGTACCAATATAATTTTTGTTTTTTTTTTTTCGCAACAACTTGTAGAGTCAGTAAGTGACAAGTTTCCATTCTAAGTTAATTTCCAATGCTCATTTCACTTTTAAATCCAGTGATTGATTCATGAACAAATGTTTGATTGCTGAAGTTAGAGTTGGTTTAATATGATCCACACATGTTCTTTAGCTTTCAGGAGGTGGTTCCTTTAAATGCTGGGAATGTATTAGGAGCAGAGAATCGGAGGGCAATTCCGAAATGGGAGGCCATAATTCGCAGGACATTGAACAAATCACCAGAACGTGAAACTATACAAAAGAGTTATAGCGCCCCTCCTTCCCCAGTATTAAGAACTTCTGATGCTGCTGACGTTCTCGCTGAAGTTGCAGAAATACCTATCTTAGATGCAACTTGTGCAGAACCCGTGGGTAAAAAAAGGTCCAAGGACTTGGTGCCTATGCTAAGGAACATTCAGCTGCGACGAATATATGGTATTGATTGTGACAGTAGATTGGACTGGCCTGAGCATTCACTAGATGCAACACCCCAAGTTCTTTCAACTAGCTTCAAGTTGCGGAGAGTTATGAGCAGTTCTGGAAGGATTTGTGGGGAGAGTCAAATGCTTAATTCCCATCCTGAAACATTAGTTTCCAATGGGTTGAAAAGAGTTCATAGCTCTGGAAACTTGACATCAATGTGGATGGATCAGCCACCTGAACTTGAAGTTCTAAATCCTCTTTCTGATGGATCTGATCAATCTTCTGACGAAGTGGATGATTCTTTTGTTGATATGTCTGAGGTCCAACTTAAATATATGCCTGTCAAAGATTCAGTACAATTACGCCCAAGGTATGTACGGATTGTCAGTAAGCAGATGGTGGGAATATACATTTCTATTTGGGTGCGTCCGAAGTTGAGGAGACACATTAACAATTTGAGAGTATCTCCTGTGGGGGTTGGCCTAATGGGTTACATGGGAAACAAGGTACTTCATCTGAATTAGTTAAAACTACAATTTCTGTATATAAGATCCTTCTCACTTACACATGTCTCTGCCCCTCTGATATATTCTTTAAATAAGTGCTAGCCGGTCAGAATGATGGCTGGAAACCATGAATAATGAATCATGAAGTTACCTGGTTCGCGGACATGATTCTCTGAATTAACCTCAATATTGCAATTGCTGCAGGGATCTGTTTCTGTTAGCATGACACTTTTCCAATCAAGACTTTGCTTCGTTTGTTCCCATTTGACCTCTGGACAAAAGGATGAAGCCAATGATAGACGTAATGCTGATGTCTTTGAAATTTTAAGGAGAACTCAGTTCTCATCAGTTGTTGAAACCAATCAACCTCAGACAATCCCATGCCATGAGTAAGTACTGTCTGATAAATGTTGCGTATTCAATTCTTTTGCGAATAAAACAGTTTGCTTATCTAGGTTGTCTGAAAATTTGATAATATGAGCTATCTAAAACTTAATAGTCATGTGCCCTTGCAAGTTTACAGTTGAGAGCAAACCAAAAGGTCTGCCTATTCATTGTGGCAAAGAGATTATAAGTTGATACTTGTTTCACCATAGATCTTTCCGTCAAAATTTAAGTTGTAAAATTGCCAAAAAGGTTTCAGCAAGTTCTGAACAATTTTGAACCTTTGTCAACAGACCAAGACAGAAATCACATGACACTTTGCAAAACTTTCATGTAGATTACTTAACTAATAATTTTTCTTCTTTCTTTTTTTTATTTTTTTGTATTTTCTTTTGATTCTGCAGTTCTGCTGCATAAGCTTCAGGCTGATTTGTCTGATTTTCTTTTTCCTTTTTCTGAACAGCCAGATATTCTGGTTTGGGGACTTGAACTATCGCATCAACATGTCAGATGAGGAAGTACGAAAGCTTGTTAGTAAAAAGCACTGGAGTGAACTTCTTAACAGTGACCAGGTTAGGCTCATTTTTGGTTACCTATCCGTGTAGATAACATAAAATGATATGATATTTTAGCCAGGTTATGGACCTGTAATGCATTTTCATATATACTACCCATTTTGGATAGTGTTTCACTTGCATTTGTATTCGTATCCTAAATGCAAATAAAAAAAGAATGTGAAGAAACTTGTGACAATGCATGTGGCAGCTATGCAAAGAGCTACGAAGTGGGCATGTGTTTGATGGATGGAAGGAAGGGCCAATAAACTTTGCACCAACGTACAAGTATGAGTTCAACTCTGATAGATATGTTGGGGAACATCAAAAAGAAGGGGAGAAGAAGAGATCCCCAGCTTGGTAAGTATTAAGTTTCTACAAGCCTGGATGCAGTTAGGGACAAGAGGTGATTGGAAGCTGATTGACAGCAATGCTATGCTAAACAACTAATATTAGTGAATAATACACAGTGATCTCTGGCGTATATTTGATCGACAAATTCATTCACACTCCTCCATCTCATCCTGTTAAGTTAGTCATAAGTCATAACACATCATTCTTAACGAGATAATCACTAATTTATCTTGGCTCGTATAATATGATGTCACATTGTAATATGATCATATTTTCTTTTTCAGAGTCAGAGCGGTAATCAGCATATTAAGTCGATCATCATCTTTCATAGAACATAAATCAGAGTCTTTGTCTTGTTTCTAATTTAAAAAGCAACACATTTCTTACTACATGAATATGGTTGAAAGTTCTATTTATTGTCTTGTAAAAAAATCTTAGTCTACAAGAACTGAAAATCGCGCAGGTGTGATCGTATTCTGTGGCTGGGCAAGGGCATAAAGCAGCTGTCTTACAAGCGAGCAGAATTGAGACTCTCTGACCACCGACCCGTGAGTTCAATATTCCTGATTGAGGTCGAAATCTTTGATCATCACAAGCTCCATAAGGCTCTAAAACCAAGTGCAGCTGTTCATCCTGAGATTTTTGTGGATGAAAATGGAGAACTCGATTTGTAGTTCCTGGTGCCCAAGAAAATATTCTAATTGGTAAATACTGCATTTTCCCAATTGGCGTCTATAACTGTATTTCTTGCCTTCTCTTTATCTGGAGCTGAAAGACGTGATATTTTCTTGTTGACGAGTCATGCCGGTATAGATCACTCATTGATCTTTTATAGTGGTGTCGACAGGTAGCTGCAATATCAAGGGCTTGGCAGAGAGCAGAAGCGGAAGCTTATCAGCTCATACTTACAATTAAGAATCTCTTTTTTCCTCGGATTCAGCCTCGGCATCAATGTTAATCATCCATTTGGAGTCATCTGAATTTTGTAGATGCAGAATGGAATAACTCAAAGCAGAAAAAAAAGTAAATAGCTACAGCTGTAACTTTGGAATTGTTTTATACCGTATAACAAATTTTGGTAGTTGCTAGGTATGGAGTTCACCTGATGAAAGGGTAGATAATTTTTCGCAATTTATGTATATAACACGACGAACCTCACGAACTGGTTTTTTAACCTTCTGTGAACTTGTGTTTGATCATAGCAAAGAGCTGGGGAGAACATTGACTGGTTCTTTAATTCATTTTTGAATATTTATTTTCTGATTGGAAATCTTTGTAACCCCTTAGAAGTTCTCTTTCATAATGTTAGTCTTTATTATTTTTCTTTTCCATTCCAGATATTTTTTTTCCCTTCCTCTTCTGTATGGGACAGTTCCAATCTTCTTCAATTCAAAAACAAAATGATTGGTGACCCAAGTCTTCTTCCGATCTTCCAATCAATGTCACTACTGACATTTTAAAGACTACATGTTTGTAAAAATATATAAATATATTGGTGTTATTCTTACCATCCATGGAATAGTGGTGATCACAACAGCCATTCATGTTGGTCATTTTTTAAAAAAATTTTCACTTTCTTTTTCACTAGGTAGGCTCCAATGCTTAAAAGGGTTGAGTTGAAAATGCAGAGTGTAGGAGTTTTGAGCACCTTTTTTCACCAGCTAAAAGTTACTACTTTTCTCCGTTAGTTGATCCTCCTTTGCTGTAGACTTTCCTGGTCTGTAAGGCCTTATATATAATCCATCCTGTTACTGAGAGTGAGCATACAAAACAAAGAAGGCAGTTAGGCTTCAGTTAGGTACATCTACTCTTGACACAGTAAAAAGCCATGGAATTTCATGAAAGTTAAGTTAGCTTTGACAATTTAGATAAAAACATAAACAACTTTCTAGTGGAACCAAATACACTGTGTCAACTTTTTTGTCTCTATACATACCGAAATGCAATGAGAAGCAAATCCCGGGGCTTTCTTTTCTGCACGGCAATGAAGTCTGTTCAAGTATTATTTCTTGTTCTTTTTTTGACAAACACTAGCTTGAGACTTTTAAGAGGTGATGCTCCCCTCATACTCGACTACTACAAAGAAACATGCCCTCATGCGGAAGACATTGTGCGACGCATTGTGGAAATAGCAGTGCTCAAAGATCCTCGTATGGCTGCCTCTCTGCTTCGGTTGCACTTCCATGACTGTTTCGTCATGGTCTATACTCATTCTCTTATTTTTTCCTCCATTTAGTTCATCTTTCTTTAATGCAGCATTTTCGTTCATTGTAATCCCAACTGTTGAATTAGAAGAGTGTCATTAGGTTAACACTGCAATTTTGGCTGATGAAATTTTGATTTTCTTCAGTTCTTGCGAATTTTCCAGGCAAGACTGTAGAGGAACTGTTTCTCATGGAAGATGTTCATAGACATTTTTCGGGACGCTATTGATATCTATTTTAGCAGTAGTATGAATCTTCCCGGTCCGTTGACTACAATAAGATTTGTTTCATTTATATAGTAAATTTGTTTAAAATAATTGCTAGAGATATATCAACTGAGAGAAGAAAATTCCCTAAGATACATCACTGAGTTAAAATAATTGCTAGAGATTTGTTTCACTGAGTTGAAGCAAATTCCCTAAGATACATCAATAAGTTCTTTAATTTAAGTTCTTTGGTTTCTGAGTTGAAGTACTCTGATGTCTTAACGGGAAAGAAGAATAGAAGATGGTGGCAAAATGATGGCTCACATGATTTGTAGGACTCCCTCTTTCCTTCCTAACATAGTTAAATGAAATCTTTGTAGGGATGTGATGGATCAGTTTTGCTTGACAATTATGGAGGAATGCTAAGCGAAAAACAGGCAGGGCCTAATTTGAATTCGCTGCGAGGATTTGAAGTGATTGATGAGATCAAATACGTATTGGAGGATGCTTGTCCTGCAACTGTTTCATGTGCTGATATCTTAGCCCTGGCTGCTCGTGATGCTGTTGTATTGGTAATTTCTGCGATTTACTCAATAGTTGTCTGCTGTAGGTGACTGATCATGACTTTCTGTGAAGACACATTTAGGCATGCCATTTGAACAAAAAAAATGTTTTTCACTAGTTAAAAATGAATAGTATACAATTAAGGAAAGCCCGATGGACTGATGAAGATGGAAAATGAACAACATGCGTTAGCTTTAGGGTAATTCAGCACCAGTCTTCTTAATTGTTTTATCTTTTGAGACCTTTCATTTGATATTTATACTCTTCAATTGAATCTTGATGAAGAGAGGAGGACCTGGATGGGGAGTGGATTTAGGAAGGAGAGACTCTCTAACAGCGAGTTTCAACGGCGCCAACCAATTCATTCCAGCTCCAAACTCCACTTTGGATACCCTCATTGCCAATTTTCAGCAACAGGGACTTGACATTGGAGATTTAGTTGCATTATCAGGGAGCCACACTCTTGGAAAAGCAAGATGTCTGAGTTTCAGACAGAGGATCTATGATAACAATGTTGAAGAGAAATTTGGTTACCACGAAAGGGACGAGCACTACATCAAATCATTGAGATCCTTATGCCCCCAATCAGGCGGAAACAATGTATTGGCGCCACTCGATCTGGTTACGCCTGCTAGGTTTGACAATCATTACTTCATCAATCTCATTGAGGGAAGAGGACTTTTGATCTCAGACAATGTGCTGTTTGATCAAGATCTTCATTGGGAGATCAGAAAGCACGTGTTCGCTTACGCTGCTAATCAGGATTACTTCTTTGAATCATTTGTAAACTCAATGATCAAGATGGGGAACATCAATGTACTCACTGGAGTCAATGGAGAAATCAGGAGGAACTGCAGATATGCTAACTCATATACAAATGGAAAGAAGTAAATGTAGGACTTTTTATAAAAAGACAAATACAATAAGGACCACAACTGCAAAAAAAAAAACTCGGTATTACCTAAGAATTTGCCACAGCTTGGGTGCAGATCCATGCTTCGTCATTAGTTTATTTGATTAATGATCCTCAACAGTTAGTCTAATAGGGGATGTAACTAAATATTGATAAGCTAATAGTGTGAGTTTTTTGGGAGTAGACCTGAGTTCTACCGCCAAGCAGTTTTAACTGAGTGTTTTACTCAACTTTCAATGGACTGGATTTTTTTTTTTTTAAAAAAAAATGTTGATCAATAATTGATTAAAAGTATTAGGCAAGATTACTAATGTGGTTAATCCTAGTAACTTGGATTCCTTCATTTATTTGATTTTTACTGACAATGCACATGTTTGCGCTTTTGGCCAAAAGTTCCCACCACTTTCAGGTTAATTGATAATCATTTTCAAAGCTTTGCAACATTGGTTGTCACAACTTTACTATATTCAGAAATGCAGGTGCCCAATAAATAACCATTTTTCGCACGATCATATCAGATCAACCTTTGATGAATATTGTTCGAGTCGCATAAGGTCTGTATCAACCTCATCAAATCGATGGCAGCTAATCTCGGGTTGGATGCAGACAAACTTGGTAGCATGTATCAAGATGGATCACAGGGAATAAAAATGAACTGCTACCCAGATAAGGTTTCTGATGCCGTAGGACTAACCTTACTGGTTCAAGCCAATGAAGTTGAAGGTCTGCAAATCCAGAAAAAATAACAAATGGGTGCCTGTTAAGCCTATTCCAGGAGCCATCATCATAAACATTGGTCATATTCTGGAGGTAATAAATCCTAGGGATAACAGTTTGTATGATTTCCGGAGCCATTTATTTTTTAACTCTTGTATAGTACAGTATTAGATATCTAAGATGAAAATGTATTAAGCATAGGATAAAGAGCAATGGCAAATACAAAAGCATTGAGCACAGAGCTGTGGTTGATTTCCAATGAGAGAGACCTTCAATCGCTGCATTTCACAGTCCAAGCATGATAGCAAAAATTGGATCTCATTGATGAAGACGGAGTTAAATACAAAACACAGGCGCAAGAGGACTATATAAGATTAGTCTTTAAGAGTAAACTGGAATGGTAAACGCTTGCTGGATCAGCTAAGAATAAGTCATTTAAGAAATGTAATACAATCCCCTTGTAATCATTCCGTTTCTCAGAATGAAAACCTGTGTCATTCGGGTCTTCAGGTCAATCATTGACAAAGAGATGGAATGGGATTTCATTGCATTCTAGTCTTAAAAGAGATTGCTAATTCAGTATGATGATGAATCTTTCAAAAAAGAAGTTAAACAAATACTTTTGGAGACTTTCTACAGTTAAAAGAAAAAATATGGTTATAGTTGTGATCCTTACCAGGAAGAAATAATGCATTAGTACTAATTGATCTGGTTACACAGGCTAGGTTTGACAATCACCCCTTCATCATTGTCATTGAGGGAAGAGAACTTCTAATATCAGACATTGTGATTTTTAGATCAAGATCTTCATAGGGAAAACAGAAAGCACGTCTTCACTTACGCCTCTGATCAAGATTACTTCTTTGATACATTTGTAAACTCAATGATCAAGTCGGGGAATATAAATGTACTATTCATTGGACTCAATGGGGAAATCAGGAGAAAGTTCAGACATGTTAACTCGAAACAAATGGAAAGAAGTAAAATACAGGACTTTATTGAATGCTATTCACCACTTGCTAAAAAGTTTGAAAGCAAATGAAAAAATGACTAAAAAATCGTGATTATAGATATTTTCTTTGCCCGCAGTAAATTAATTCGAAGTTAACCTCAAGAAATATGCATTGGTAAGACATTTGTAAAGTAACTGCTATAGGCACATTCACACAATTAACAAATGAATGACAAATTAATTGACAATGACTAGAGAGACAAGTGTAGATAATCATTGTGTTTATAGTTAAATAGAACCAGTCTCTTGCCGATATCCTGATTATAAAATGGTGAAAGTGACCATTTCTCGTGATGAAATCACTAGCAATTTTAAGGGGATCAACTTATTGCCGAATCTGCCAAAATATAAACTTCCAAAAACTAACAGTCTGTGAAAGCATATGCACTTTAGTATGAATAGTCAAAGAGCAGTCTTGTTTTCTCCTCTCAAAGAATCGACGTCTTAGTCATATGGTTTCTAGAAGTGAAACGTTTTATTTTAGGCTTGACATATGGTTGGATTTGATGCTATGAAAAGAAGAGGTATGTTGTTATAAATTGTGAGTTGGAGTTGTTGTTTTGAAAAATCAATCTGTGCAAATGGAAGATATTGAGGTGAATAACGCTAAAAAGGACTTTGGAGGTTCCCTTCCTGTTGAGAATGTGCAAGAACTAGCTTCTACTGATTTGCAAAACATCCCACATCGATACATCCGACCTGAAATCAACCCTGATGAAGTTTCAACGGATGAATCTTCGCAGATCCCCATTATCGACGTGGCCAAGCTTACTTGTGAATGTTTAGGATATGAACTTGAAATGGCAAAACTTCACCAGGCTTGCGAAGAATGGGGCTTTTTTCAGGTACCAAAAATGATCGCATTGTGCCTTTTAGTCAGTGTATTAATTCATTTTCCAAACAAGTTTACTTGTTAGAAAGGGCTTATTGATTCAAAGTTGCAACAGGTGATTAATCATGGAGCACACAGCGTACTCGAAAAAATGAAGGTTGTCACAGATGAATTCTTCAAGTTGCCACTAGAACAGAAAATGGCCTATGCACAGTTACCAAACAGCATTGAGGGATATGGTCAAGCATTTGTCGTATCCGAGGATCAAAAACTCGACTGGGGCGACATGTTGTTTCTCATTTCTTTACCACTCACAAACAGAAACTTGCGATTTTGGCCGAACATTCCCACCTCTTTCAGGTAAATAGCCATTTTCAAATTTCCACTCTACTAGCCAGTTTTAGGTAAGATCAGAAATTTTGATGCTAAATAATGATTAACCAACTTTGGCATATGATTGTATCAGATCAACCCTTGATGAATACTCGTCTGAGTTGCATAAAATCTGCATCGGCCTCATCAAAGCGATGGGAACTAATCTCGGGTTGGAGGTCGAGAAACTTAGTAGCATGTATCAAGATGGCACACAAGGAATCAGAATGAACTACTATCCACCTTGTGGGCAAGCAGACCAGGTCTATGGCCTTGCGCCGCACTCTGATGCGACAGGGCTAACTTTACTGGTTCAAGTCAATGAAGTTGAAGGCCTGCAAATCAGGAAAAATGGCAAATGGCTGCCAATTAGGCCCTTTCCAGGAGCCATCATTGTTAACATTGGTGATATTCTAGAGGTAAATGTTTACCTAAATGTATAAAACAGCACATGTATTCGCGGGATCAAATTTATACATTGCAGTACTTGGTTTGATTTGGTAATGCAGATAACGAGCAATGGCAAATACAGAAGCATTGAGCACAGAGCTGTGGTTAATTTCCAGAGAGAGAGACTTTCAATGGCGGCGTTTCATGGACCAAATATGACAGCGAAAATCGGACCTCTGCAAGAGTTTGCCAAAGAAAATGGAGCTAAGTACAGAACATTGGACAATGAGGACTACATAAAATTAGTCATCAAGAGCAAACTTGATGGTAAAAGCTTGCTGGATCAGCTGAGAATCAGCCATTGAATAAATGTAATGATCCAATTGTAATATTTGGGGGTTTTCTTCTTTTTTTTTTTTTTTTTTGTTTTCTCCTCTCAGAACTGAGTCATTTGGGCCATCAGGTCAATGACTTACCTGAAGAGATGGTTTACAAATCCAATGCATTTGGTTGGTCATTCAGTATTGAGATGATTAAACAAATACATCAGACGTTTTACGTCATAATTTGCATTTTCTAACATGAGTTGGTTATGAACAACGATATTATTAACGGTTCGTCAAATGGTAGATCTTCTCACATATGATATGATTTCAGGATTGCACTGTCTGTTTGGAAGGTTTTCTGGTGTGTGCTTTTGTTTTATTCATCAAAAATGTATAAAATTATATCGAAAAGGATTTAATGTGAAAAGCCTAGCTTTTATATAGAGCTATAGTCGAAATTAAATTACTCTCTGTCCCAAAATTATTATCCAGTTGAAATTTTTACTTGTAGTTCAATTTATAGTTTTTTTTCTTTTTTTACTAAATTTGAAAATCTAAACTTAGACAATAATTTCGGGAACGGAGGAGTACTAATTTAATTTCTTGTAAGTGATTGAGGAATTAACTATCGCAAATCCAGAGCAAAGTGCATACTAACAAATCTTAGTGTGATTTGCTGCCTATCACGTATGAGTTGATTGTGTCAAAGTATTACCTCCAATTCCTCGCAATCTTGAAGCAATTGAATGCACAAATTCTTGATTCTTCTGTTCTTTCTCTTCCCAGGTAGTAAGTAATATTCCCAGAGATTTTTTGTTACCCCCAAATCCCCTTGTTTTCTTCAACACTTATTACACTAAAAGGGTTTCGCCACCTCCAACTTATCTCAGCATTCTAATCTTGGAAGGATTCCTTATGGGGAAGGAAGCCTCAATTAGCTTCATCAACTTTAGCAGAGCAATCTGCCTGCGCTAACGCCGGCCTTCGATTGAGCATTGACTTCCTTTCAAGCAGATTCGTCAACTTATCTGCCAGATTTGCGGGTAAATTTCTAATTTCTGCTGCCCTCATCCTTGGCATATTTCTGGGTTGATTCTCGATGTTTTAGGTTTTTATCTGCATTATCTCTGATTGATTTTCTGAATTAGGCTTGAATTTCTCGCTTGATGTCCACTTATATAAAATTGATATTAGAAAAATAACACAAAAAAATGGGGTGGTTCACTCCTTTGATCATAATGCTTAGGTCTGCAACTTTATTCATCAATGGCGACTGGTGCTAACCACGGTCTAAATCATGTTGGGGTTTCACTTCCGGTTGAAAATGTGCAAGAACTTGCCTCTAGAAACTTAGAAGAGATCCCACATAGATATATCCGACCCGAGATTAGGGCGGATGAAGTTTCGGTCGATGAGTTGTCAGAAATTCCAGTCATTGATATGAGCAGGCTTGCTGCTGGCAACATTGGATACCAAACTGAAATGTTAAAACTTCACCAGGCTTGCAAGGATTGGGGATTCTTTCAGGTAAAAAATAACCAATTTTGGCTATTTATTTCGGTTTATGTAGTTATAATAAATCCCATTCTTCAAATAATTGATTGTCGTGGAACAGTTGATTAATCATGGAGCAACAGCAGAAATTGAGAAAATGAAGATGGATGCGCAGGAATTCTTTCATCTGCCGTTAGATGAGAAGTTGGTCTATGCACAATTGCCTGATAATCTCGAGGGATATGGTCAAATATTTGTTACTTCGGAGGATCAAAAACTCGATTGGGCTGACATGCTCTTTATTTTTCCGATTCCAGTCTCAGCTAGGAACATGAGATTTTGGCCTCAAAATCCCGCTTCTTTCAGGTACCGAATATGATAAATTTGTTTCTCATAACAGCAATTCGCTGGTCTTCCTAAAGAGACCATTTTGGATTTGATTTCCAGTATAGGAAATGCAATGAAAAGATTAGTAGAAGGTGAATGTTAATTTTCTGTTGTTGCCCTCATTTTCAGATCAAGCTTAGAGGAATACTCCCTCAAGTTGCACAACACCTGCATGTGTCTTTATGAATTGATGGCCACTAATCTTGGTGTGGAATTTAAGAAGTTTGCTGATATGTCGCTGGAATGCTCACAAGCTATTAGAATGAATTATTATCCACCTTGCTCCCAAGCAGAAAAGGTCATTGGTTTCACTCCACACTCTGATGGAGATCTACTGACCTTGTTGGTTCAAGTCAATGAAGTTGATGGTCTTCAAATTCGCAAAAATGGTAAATGGGTACCCATTAGACCTCTTCCTGGAGCCATCATTGTGAACATTGGTGATGCCATGGAGGTAAGTTCTGGTCACCAACTCCCCCTCCATTATACATTTTTCCTTCGCCTCAAATCCGTCTATAAGCATTTCTATTGCAGATAATGAGCAATGGCGAGTACAGAAGCATTGAGCATAGAGCTTTGGTGAATTCTCAGAAAGAAAGGATATCTATTGCTGCATTTCACAGTCCAAGTGCAGAAGCAAAAATTGGTCCCCAACCAGATCTTTTGAAAGAAAATGGAGCCAAGTACAAGACAGTGAGCTATGAGGAATATGTGAAAATGTATCTTGGTAGCAGAGTAAATGGCAAAAGGATGCTTGATACTGTGAAAATAAACAACTGAAATCATGCAACTCCTGGTCTTAGCAGAGGAGCCCTGTTTGATGGATCTAATTAGTTGAAGCCTAGTCATTGTTTTATGAAGAAGTTCCAGTGAAATGGTCAAAAACATGCTAGGCAGTAGGCACAATAGTTCCACAAAGAAAAAGTTCAGACGCATTTTCTGTGGCTAAATCAGTTTGAACTTTGAAGGATTCAAAGTTATATGATAAAAACGGCATCAGTCGGATGTCTATTTCTGCTAGATGGGAGTTTTCTGGAGCTGTTTAGCACTTGTACTACGAATGTTGAAAATGTGATGGTACAAGGATATGAATTTGAAGCTATATTGCTAGACACTCACTATTTGGAAGGTGGATAGGTTGAGAAATTGCAGATGAACGTTTATAGTCTTTCATGCTAATTATGATGTTGTGGAACTATTTGGAGTTGGCTTCAGAGAATCGAAGTCTTAGCAGACCCAAAAAGTAAGGCCCTGTATGGCCCATCTCCCAAATCCAAAAATAAATAAAAAAAATAAAAAATGTACTGCATTATTTGATGAACACTACTCTATGTTTAATGTATATGTACTGCATTATTTGAACACCGCTCCATTTTTTGACTAACAATATTAGAAATTTATACTATATATAGTATACGCTTTAAAGACATTTATTTATTACGTAATATTATTTAAAGCGTGATGATCCTTCTGTCTCGTGCAAAAGACACTAATACATCTAGTATTTACCTATCGATAAATGACGCTTCACGGTTAAAATCAAACTATATGTCCCTTGCCCACATGGCGGGAATAGATGGGATCACAGAGAGAAAGGCGGAGATCTGAGTAGATTTTCATAGACTACTAATCAAATTTCAGATTGTATATTTGAGTCGAGAAACATGTGCCTCACCATCTAGGTAACACTGAGTATTATCAAACTCATTATGTAATCAAAAAAAAAAAACAAAAAAACAAAAAACTGTCGGTGCCGGTATATGTATGTAAGAAGTCATCAAACCATCCAGTTTACTAGTATTTTTTTTCTCAAGTTCTAATTACAGTATAAGGTACAAATTACTAAATGTCTTCTACTAAGAATTAGAACTAAACCATCAATTATTCTAAACTTAGTCAAAATCCAGCTTGCTTTTATGGATCAAGGAACTACAACTTGATTAATGACCAACGGAACACGTTCACATTTAAATATTCATATTGGTGATGGTTGGTCATCCAGAAACGAAATCGTTGACTGTTATAAGGCTTTACATAGTATTGTTGGGGGAGTCACAGAGGAGTTTCAGAACAAAGGGATTGATTTCTGTAATTCAGAGACATCAGTTTTTGAGCAAATGGAAGATTCCGAGGTTGGCAACAAATTTGGAGGTTCCCTTCCTGTTGAGAATGTGCAGCAACTAGCTTCTACTAACTTGGAAAACATCCCACATCGATACATTCGACCTGAAATCAACCCGGAAGACGTAATCTCAACTGATGAATCTTCTTCACAGATTCCGGTGATCGACATGTCCAAACTGGCATCCGATAGTAGTGATTATGCGCAAGAAATGGCAAAACTTCATCAGGCCTGCGAGGAATGGGGTTTTTTTCAGGTATTAAAAAAAAATTTCTCCCTTTCTGGATTTAGTTTCCGGTAAGAATTTCTCCCTTAAACTCTGTTTTCCAAGCAACTAAAGAGCTAATCATTTTAAAGTTGCTGCAGTTGATTAATCATGGAGCAACCACGGCTGTCGAAAAAATGAAGTTGGTCGTAGAGGAGTTCTTTAAGCTGCCATTGGAACAAAAACTGGCTTATGCACAGCTGCCAAATACAATTCAGGGATATGGCCAAGTGTTTGTTTTATCCGAAGATCAAAAGCTCGATTGGGGCGACATGATGTTCCTTGCCCTTTTACCAATAGAAACCAGGAAGTTGCGATTTTGGCCAGATGTTCCCACCTCTTTCAGGTTATATAATCATATTTTCAGTATGATCAGATAGTAATTAAAGTTTGCTAAATGACTAAATTAATGTTTGGCGTATTTGATCTTTTCAGATCAACCCTTGATGAATACTCGTTCGAGTTGCATAAACTCTGCGTTGGCCTCATCAGATCAATGGGAGCTAATCTGGGGGCGGATGTGGATGACCTTAGTGGCATGTATCAAGATGGCACACAAGGAATAAGAATGAATTACTATCCACCTTGTAGAGAAGCAGACCGGGTTTATGGCATTACTCCTCACTCTGATGCAACAGGGCTAACTTTACTGGTTCAAGTCAATGAGGTTGAAGGCCTGCAAATCAGGAAAAACAGCAAATGGCTGCCAGTTAAGCCTATTCCAGGAGCCATCATTGTTAACGTTGGTGATATTCTAGAGGTAATTCTAGAGCTGGTGTGGTCACGGGGTCGATTAAATTATGTAAAACTTATATTTGTTGGTTTTGGTATGGCAGATAATGAGTAATGGCAAATACAGAAGCATTGAACACAGGGTTGTGGTTCATCCCCAAAGAGAGAGACTCTCAATGGCTGCATATCACGGTCCGAATATGACAGCGAAAGTTGGCCCTCTTCAAGAGTTTGTGGAGGAAAATGGAGCTAAATACAGATCACTGGATCATGAGGAGTATATCAGATTAACCATAAAGAGCAAACTCGATGGCAAAAGCTTGTTGGATCATATGAGAATAAGCCAGTGATGATGTGTAATGAATCTCAATTGTAATCATTCTGGGTTATTTTTTATTTTTATTTTTATTTTTTTCACAATGAAGAACTGTATCATCAGGGCCATCAGGTCAATCACCAACCAGGAAGTGGATAGAGAAGTTTCTTTGCATTGAAATTTGATTCAAGGTTGGAGAATTCAGCATTGAGATTAATCTTTCAATAATCGAGTTGAACAAATACATTTGGTGACATTTTGCATCATAATATGCTTTCTTTCTATTACTCGCTTTTGGATTCAAACACAAAATAAAATCTTCATAATATGCTTTCAAGATTCATTGACAGTTTGATAAATGAACAAGTAATGAATCTTCATCCCTCGATTTTCTATGGATTTTCAAAAGGTACAGAGCCAGTTTCTCTCTAAAATGAGTACCTACAAAAGTCATTCCATGATACTCGGTTCATCGGTTGGACAATGTTGAATGTTGCATTTCTCCAAGCCCAAAATGAACATCTTTTCTTAATTAATTTTAGCTTTAATCATCTAAATTGTCTCAAACAACGGCAATTAGAGGCTTGTTGCCATCAGTGGATATACTTGAAAATTTGCATATATATTAGGAAATGTCGCATCACTATGGGCCAATCCTAGGATATAATTGACATGATTTCGGAAATAAAACCTAAATAGGTACTTCAGGCACACTAGTGTTTGTTTGTCTCCCCAGATTCATCGTTCTTCATCCAGTTCCTCAAACACATAAGGGCCTCCAATGTCTCGGGTCGCAACGAAGATTTATAGCTATCCATCTGTTTTGGGACGGTATCAAAGACCGAATCAGCAGCAACTGTGCAGACAGGAATCGACAGGATATCGCGTGCCATCTTTGAAAGAGTTGGGTACTTCAACCTGTTGAATTTCCACCACCCAATCACGTCGAATTCGTGAACACGCGGCAACAGGGATTCCTCCAAATACTGATCCAGTTCTGTTTTTGATTGCTGGCTGGTCGTCTCCATCATATAGACGTCGAAATCTGTAAGCCCGAAACCATTCAAAGACGCGAGGTTTCTTCCTTGGGAGTAGTCCTCTGTCTTGACAGTGACATAGTCTCGGAAGACTTCATGAATTCCCTCAGCAACAATCTTCACATAAGATGCAGAGTTCTCTTCACCATAGATTTTCGAAAAGCTGAACTCAACCAACTTCATCTTGAACCTGGGATCCATGACCACGGAAATCGCCAAAACAAAACAACAGCTTCTCCAGTATTTATCGAATTGTTCTTGCATCAAACTAGTTAGGCCTCGAACCAATGGATCATCATCGCTTGCTGCAGCATGAGCGAGCTCCAATTGGATCTTCCATGCCTCATGGAAGAATGTGTTTGTTGTGGTAAGATTCGGGCTTGTTAGGAGATTAGCAGTTTCAAACAAAGGTTTCAAGTAGGTGCACAGAGTTTCCACCTTCTTCCAGTCTTCCAAAGAAGGCGCATTTTTGTAGTTAGTATCAGCAATGTCCAAACACGAAAACACCTCTTTCAGCTCTGATGCAGCCAACAGCATTTCATAGGTTGTGTTCCATTTTGTCAGGTCATCAATAGCCGGAAGACCTTTCGTGCTGGCCAATTGAAGTTTGTGCTTCAGCCCCATGAATTTCCCCTCATTCAACTCTGAATTCTTCACATACTTCACGCTATCGCGGACTTTCTTGATAGTGTCCTGCACCGATGCGAATGCATCTTGCACAATGCTGCTCAAACTTTTCGCCAAACAATTCCCAAGAACCAACTGGCCACCGAGGACGAGTGGATTCTCCACAGAGAGTGAAGCTCTCAAGTGATCAACAGCAGCATCACTCAAAGATTGATTAATGGTAACTGATAATAACGTTCCAACTCCGATGCCCCAATCATTGAGGCATTCAGAAACCGCCTGACTGAAGGCGGTGTCCGAGTCAGGACAGGGTACGGTGACAACATTGAGCAGTTTCCGGTGTACTTTCCATTTACAATCAACAAAATAACCTGTTAGAAATACATAGCCAAGCGTACGGCAAGAAGACCACATATCAAGTGTGAGACAGATACGGCCCGGTATTGTTTGAATAAACTCCTGAATGAGATTTTTCTGGCTTTGGTATGTAGCGGCCAACTCTGCCTGAACAGAACTGAAATTCATCAAACCGAACCCAGGCTGAAGATTCTGGACAAAAGCAACAAAAGCCGGATGCTCAACAATGTGAAGGGGGAAATCATCATGCCTGATTATCATCTTAGTAAACTCATTACGGCAACGATCTGCATCAAACGAAATCAGTGGTGCTGGAGCTGTTTTTCTCCGATAACGGCGCTTTGTCAGCGGCGTATCAGCAAGATTAGAAGAAGGTGAACCACTCTTGTATGATGATGAGTTTCCTAGATTATTTCTTTCCTGATTAGCAAGGAAAACAGAGCAAGAACCCTTTGCAATATGACGAAGAAGGTGACTGGTTCCGTCCACTTTGGACCCTTTACTGTAGGAATAGGATTTCTTGCATTGTTTGCAACAAGCCCTTCTGCAGTCATCACCAACGCTTTCCAGAGTGAAGTGTTCCCAAACAACCGACGATTTCTTCTTCCCACGCTTGTTTGGTGGCTGAATCCCCTGTTCTGCTATTTCAAGCTCTGTTTTTGGTTCAACAAATTCCATCTCATTCCCAGCAACAACAGCTCCTTCCACAACAACAGGAGTATGAATATTAGAATCGACGGGGACAATATTCATCATCATATCTTGCAAATCCGAAAAATCCAGCACAACATCAGTCATCATGGGCGTATCATCCTGGCTAGGAGGAGACGCCATCTGGGCTTCAACACCAAAAACCAACGGAGATCGTTTCCGGAGAAGGCCCAGAAGAAAAGATTTGATTTTTGAGGGGAGCCCGGTGAAAAAAACAAGTCTCTTTCGATGGATCTTGAGCTTAAACGCCGAATTGGAGAACTTCTATATCTAGGGTTTATACCCAAAGTGGAAGGAGATAAAAAGAGGCCGGAGGCGATAGCGAGAGAAAGAAAGATTGGGCTTCCAACCTTGAAATCCAATTAGTACGGTGGTATTGCAGGAAAAGGAAACCAAATTTAAAGTGGAATTGGATATTGGACTTTGACGGTCCAATTTAAAGGGCCATCAATTCCCATTTTGCGTTAAGATCTCACAAAAATTCTGAATTAGTCCCGAGACCTGAGGACATTGCGGGGACAAATTTAACTGGAGAACTGTTTTGATTTCCCTTTCTTTTTATGTCAACATTTATGGCCTAAAGACAGATTGATTGATGAAATGTCGAGGACTAGAGGGAAAGGTTTTGGACAAGGAAAAAGTAAAAGTGTTCTTATAAAAAATATCTTCAAAGAGTCCGTATCCAGTGCACCCAGGTATACGTATACCCCCCACCAAACACACGCGCAACACGCGCCTAACTGTTTTTACCTTTACATTAAATGCACACAGAAAATTGTTTTCATCCATTTCATTCCCACGCACAAACACACACAAACACACAGTCGACGGAAACTCTCCATTTTAGGACAAATACGAAATTGACCACCACCACAAAATTACAGAAAGTCGATGGAAAACCTCCGCTGGAAGACGATTTTGATAACTTCATCTTCTCTCTGCGTTTTTTCATTTTGTCAGTCTGTTCTTTCACACACACACACACACACACACACACACACACACACACACAGACGAGGCCGAGAAACCCTACCTCCGGCCATCTCAAGCTCTCCTTCATCTGTACATGCTTCACTGGTAAGTATATTACTCCTTGATCCTATTTTTTTGATTATCCAGCAATATTTTGTGTTTATCCACTAGATCTGAACTGCTTATCCATGTTTTCCTGCGTATGCTATGTGATGGTTGTCCATGCCATAATTGCTGGTTATCCACCCATTTCATACTGGTTATCCACATAGTATACTGGTTATCCACCCATTTCATACTGGTTATCCAGAAGGTGTAAACTGGTTATCCACAAGTTGTAAACTGGTTATCCATGCTTTTTTTACATTTGATTCTATGTGGCATGGACAAACTGAACTGGTTATCCATGTTGTTGTGTTTTTTTGTTACTGATTATCCACTATATATCTGAACTGGTTATCCAAGTTTTTCTGCGTGTGTGCTATGGGGTGCTTGTCCAAACTTTGTTTGTGGTTATCCACCCATTTTATACTGGTTATCCGCAAGGTGTAAACTGGTTATCCATTATTTTTTTTAGATGTGCTTTTATGTGGTTACATGTCCATACATTATTTGCTAGTTATCCACCCATTCATATTGGTTATCCACAAGTTGTAAACTGGTTATCCACATAGCATACTGGTTATCCACCCATTTCATACTGGTTATCCACAAGTTGTAAACTGGTTATCCACAAGTTGTGAACTGATTATCCAGAAGGTGTAAACTGGTTATCCACAAGTTGTAAACTGGTTATCCATGCTTTTTTTACATTTGATTCTATGTGGCATGGACAAACTGAACTGGTTATCCACCCATTTTATACTGGTTATCCGCAGGGTGTAAACTGGTTATCCATTATTTTTTTTAGATGTGCTTTTATGTGGCTACATGTCCATACATTATTTGCTGGTTATCCACCCATTTCATACTGGTTACTCCTTTTTTGATTACTGCTCCTTTTTATATCCTGCTATTTTTTCCACTGACTTCTTAGTGATTGTCCAATGCCAACAGTGCCCTAAAGGAGGCTAGAACAAAACATAGGCACGGACGGATCAGCGCAAGCCACGACCTTAACTGCAAACCCAGACAGATCACCGGATCCTGAACCAGAGATAATGGAACTCCCTGAAGGAACACTGACAATATTTAAAAAACAAAAATCAACCCAAGAAGAACAGTCCCCTGGTTAAAGTCCAAGGCCCCACAACTTGTGGAGGAAACTAAAGAGAAAGAAGAGCACGCCGACAGAAAATCCAAAGCAACTTGTGGTTGCTGATGACAATGACTCCGCTGATGATAAGAAGCCCAAAAAGAAAAGAATGAAACCTGAGAACAAACTGATCATTGGTCAAGATCCACAGCCAATTAGTTCTGAAGATTCGGTCAAGAAATTTGAGACCAGGATGACACCAAACCATCTCTTCCAACTTATCACTGAAATCAATAAACCAACAGATCTTACAGAAGAGCCAGATGTGGTAGATTATCGCCAACTACAAAGTA